CCCGCCAAATTGGTATTAGGGGTAAAAATATTTTTTGGCCTGAATAACGTCATCTAGTACATCAATAAAGATTTTGAACAGAAAAGAGAATTCCTGTATTTCCATGAATGGCATGGAGGAAACGACCACATTCTGCTTTCTGACCTAGAGCCTTAAGGGGAGGGAGTTGGGGGTCTATAAGAAAAGAAGTTAAGGATGACTCCCTGGCTTCTTGTTGGGACAGCTGCATTGGGGTGTCTGGGAAATGCAGTTGGAGGTACAGGTCTAGAACCTAAGAGAGGCAGCCAGGGCTGGAGACGTAAGTTTGGGAGTAACGAGGCGATGGGTAGTGACGGGGGCCACGGGATAGATGGGTTTCCCCGTGTCAAGTATAGCCAGAAAAATGAGTATGAAACGGAACTGAGGGGCACCAATGAGGAATGAGCAGAGGAAAGATGCTGAGGAGGGTGGCCCAGAGAAGGAGAAAAGTGACAAGATGATTGCTTCATGAAAAAGGGAGGGGCCTGCACTGTCAAAGACAAGAGAATTGGTAATAATGAATGGGCTCCTATGGGATGATAGTCACAAAGGAGGAACATATTTCACCAAGTTATTTTATTTCTCTGTGCCTCAGATTTTTTATTTGTGAGATGGGGATAAAATTTCATGGGGTGACTGTGAGGATAAAACAACCCAGACTGACAAATGAAAAACACTTAGAACAGTGCCTAGCACATGGCACGCCCTCAGTGAAAGGTTGGCTCCTTTCTTACTGCAATTGATGACATCAAGTTCCAGGTGCTCAACATTATATTTAGGAAGATGGTGGAAAGTAAGGTCTGAATAAGCTTGAAGCTTCTAAATAAGATTAAAATCTCCCTGTAAAAATAGGACATTAGGGGTCTTCTGTTTATCTGGTAACTTTGAAATCACTCTGGACTCTTTCAAGTTTATAATTCTTTAACGCTTTCATAATTGATGGCTGCGTTTATAATGCTGAAACGGAATCTGTTAGGTCGCTGTGTTAAGTTTATTAGGGCTGTCAGAACAAAGTCCACAGACTGGACGGCTCAAACAACAGAAATTGATTTTCTTACAGTTCTGGAGAAGTCGGAGATCAAGGTGTTACCAGAGTTCATTTCTACTTAGGCCTCTCTCTCTGGCTTGTCGATGAATGGCTGTCTAATCCCTTTCTTTTCATGGTCTTTCCTTTGCGTCCGGGTCCTAATCTCTTCTGTAAGGACACCCGTCACAGTGGATCAGGGCCCACTCATATGACCTCATTTTACCTTAATTCTTTAAAGACCAAATCTCCAAATACAGTCGCATTTGAGGTACTGGCCGTTAGGACTTCAACATATAAATTTTGGGAGGAGGAACAAAATTGAGCCCATCACAGTCATTTAAGAGTAGAAATGAACGTTAGCCTTTGTGTGAGTGAGAATTAGTGGTTAAGAATGTGAGACCTCACTTTCAAGTACGAGCAGAAGGAAGAAGGCATATGAATAGCTTGTCTTCTTAGGTCAGGTGGTGTCATTTGGAACCTTAACAGTTTATGGCAGCAGGTAGGCAAACAAAACCCAGTCTGGGAACATATTATCTGATTACATAGAAACATTTAGGCAAATACTATAGCTTTTAAAAGAAAGGGTGACTCTTAGCACTATGATGTAGTTAAGCAAGGAATTTTTAAACCACAGCTTTCTTTATAGCGTACCTTTCAATCAACATAATTTAGTCTATAGATGAGGATGCCAATTTTGAAAAAGATTAACTACGTAAAAGAAAATGTAAGTAGGGTAAAAACTGTCAGCTTCAGTCTGCTCTAAACCTGAGAGCTTTGTTTTGGAAGGGCCTAATATAGTGGCTTTTGTTGATGTTGACATGAAGGTGCACTGAACTATGCATCCACTGTAAACATTAAGCATTGGGAAGAAAAGAATAGGTAAGTAAAGGAGGTGGTTTTCCTCATTGTCTCGTAGGCGTGTCGGGGAAACCAGCACGATGTGCCAGTCATTCCTTTGGATGTAGTGGATCATAAGACAGCCAAGCCGGATGCCAATGTCACCGAGGTGGATGCGGCCTCAGTTTACACACTGCCTGCTGGAGCAGACTTCCTCATGTGTTACTCTGTTGCAGAAGGTGCGTCTGTGTTTAATACAAATAAAGAATTGTCTTTCCTGGCTAAGTTCCTGTAAGTTTCACCTTGGCTTGATCTGGATCATATCTTTCTGTTGGGACATGGTGATTTAGATAGTCCTGAAGCTCACAGTCCTCGAATGGATTTCTTTGATCACATAGCACAAAGTGATACAGGAAAGTGTAAAATACCTTATAAAAAAAATCATCCCTGAGAACCAAACGTTGAAAGCTTCAAGTCTAATTATATAGACTATTAGCAGTCTGCTATCAATTACTGATGGTGATAGTGTCATTGTCATATTCATGGGAAGCTTTATTGACAAGTATTTGATGACATTTGTTCTCTTTTGCAGTAAATTTGTTTTTCTTCTTTCTGTTCTCTTGTCTCTCAAAATCATTGCCTGGCTACAACCATCTTGGGAACTTTTAGGTAATAGAGGAAATTACATATACGAGGTATGATAAAAAATACAGTGAATGTTTAAATTAAAAAATTTATTACAGTGAAAGACACATTGCCATAAATTCCCCTCAGAATACTCCCCCTCGCTTTGAACACACTTATCCCATCATTCTTGCTACTTTATGAAGCAGTTCTGGAAGTCCTCTTTCATGAGTGTCTTTGGTTGCGCTGTCATGGCTGCCTTGATGTCCTAAATCGATTAAAAATGTTTAACTTTCATGGTCATTTTGACTTTGGGGGAAGAGCCAGAAGTCATACGGTGCCAGATCCCGTGAATAAGGTGGATGAGGACACACCGTAATGTTATTTGACAGAAATTACCATACCAGAAGTGATATGTGACATGGAGCCTTGTCACGATGGAGGATGAAGTAAAGACACTCACAAAAGAGGACTTCCAGAACTGCTCAGAAAGTGGCGTTGGGATAAGTATGTTCAAAGCGAGGGGGAGTATTTTGAGGGGGATTAATGGCTATGTATCTTTCACTGTAATAATTTTTTTTTTATTTAAACATTCACCGTATTGTTTGATCACACCTCATAATTAGCCCCATTTTTACAGAACCTTATAGAATCGCTTTTCCCACATAAGCATAGTCAACAGAGAAACATGTAAAAACTATATCATGGACACATCTTATTTAGTCTTCCCCAAAGATTTTTGAGAATTTAATACTTCTGTAACAGTGAATTATAAAGGTGTTTTTCAGTCCTAGTAACTGAAAGCCAGAAAACTTCAGTGTCCTTTTTCCTGTCTTTTTTAGGTTATTACTCTCATCGGGAAACTGTGAATGGCTCGTGGTACATTCAAGATTTGTGTGAGCTGCTCAGAAACTTCGGCTCCTCCTTAGAGTTCACAGAGCTCCTCACACTGGTGAACAGGAAAGTTTCCCAGCGCCGAGTGGCCTTCTGCCAAGACAGGAGTGCCATTGGAAAGAAGCAGGTCCCTTGCTTTGCCTCCATGCTGACTAAAAAGCTGTACTTCTCTCCAAAATATAAATGACAGGGCTGGTTTATGTATTTGTATGCAAAATGGATTTCCCTTCTTTTTATATAATTATCACTAGATTGAAGCTTATGGTACAGCGATTTAAAATGTTTTAAGGTTGAATGAGAACCTTTAAATAGTTCATATTGGACACAGTGAAGGGGTTTGATAGATGTAGAAATGAAATCCTCAGAGAATTACTATAAATAAAAATCCCCAAGCATTTGTAGTACTCGATTTTTATAAGTTGTAAGGTTATTCAAAATATCTGGTTGGTTTAACTTGTATTTGATGAATATTTTTAATAAAAGTTTATAATGTTTTTAAAACTCAAGAATTAGTTGTTTTCCCTTCACGTATTTGAAATTCATGTTTTACCAAATTTTTCTAATTAGCATTTTTATTCATTTATGTAATTTTAGACTTGTTTTTAGTTGGTCATATAAATTCATCTACAAATGAATTATCCCTTTTTGTATAGGACTTTAACTCTCACTTAAGTGACCCTTTAAGAACTATTATATGGCATTCTGAGGAAGAAATATAGAACAGTCAATTCTTAGTCACTATAGGCTAAACATTTGCAAAATTAGATCCTTTCAATATCTTCCATGTTAAGTTGCTATACATTGTCCAGCAGTCATCATTCCCACTCATAGACCATTGTGTTAATGGGACAGATGTTACTTTTAAGGTTCAGTTCTTACTAATATGATATACAAAATTTGAGTTATACTGTTTTGTTAATAACCTGCCAGAGGCTGAAGATGGTTACATGTTTGGGCTTTTGGTAACTGAACTTGTGAGTTCCTATTTCAAAAGCAATAGTTTGCATATATTATTTCAGCTGCAGTTCAAAAAGCATGCCAACTATGTGCTGCGGTTGATGGGATATTCATAACCTTGTTTTGTGGTCATGATAAGGGGCTTCACTGTCAGTTGGACGTTTTACTTCCTTTAATTCCTTACCACAGGTGTTGCCATTCCCGTGCCTCTCTTTTCAAGAGCTAATGACTACAAAACGCTCCTCTGTTCACCTGATGAACATTGGCTGGCCTTCTAGGCAAAGATTATTCAATTCTGGTTATCTAAGAGAAATAAGCTTGGTGTTATTAAAAAGCTCTAAAACAAAACAAACAAAACACAGTTTTTTCCTTGAATGTGACCAAAGGGTTTATTTGAATACATCTTTTTGTTCAGATGCAGTGACATTGGCACCTACATACCTGGACATCAAATTGCCATCAAATCTGAGGCTGTGGAAGCAATGGGGATACAACTGAATCCTGTATGAAACAGTTGTCTCAGAATAAAACAATCCTTTTGTAATAAAATTAACATGTAATGTGTTTGGATTCCTTTAATTTTGGTTCTAATCCCTATAGACTTAAAACTTGGAATGTGAATAGAAAGATCATACGCTGTTTATGTTTTTAAATAATTATAAAGTTTTAACATAAATGATGTGCTATTTGGAGAAACTACATTTTAAATATTAAAAAGGTTAGAGTGTCCTGCCTATTATCGCTGAGCTGTTGTCCCCTCAGTACTCAGAAGTCAGTTTCACCTATCATAAAGTACAATATGACTTACACAGAGCTCCTCTGATGAATAAGAATTAAACTTTATTTTCCTTTGTAAAGAAGATACAAATCAAAGGAAGCTATCTTTACTAAAAATTAATTCATTTTTCACATGGCTAATTTTTTTAAGTCTTAAAAATACAGAATTATTCTTTGATAATTGTTTTTCATATTCTTGTTCAGGGTCAGCAAAATTTTTCTGTAAAGAGCCAGAGTAAATATGTTAGGCTTTGCAGGCCACACTGTCTATTCCAACTAAACACTGCTGCTACAGAGTCAATACATAAATGAGCATAGTTGTGTTTCAATAAAACTATTTACAGAGACAGGTACAGGTATTAGTTTGCCAACTCCTGCTCTAGTCCACCCCATTTTCCTGAATTTCCTTTAGACTGCAAGAATTAGGAAGCCATCCTTTCCACTTTCTAAGTCTAGACTCTCCCCAGCACTATAGCTGAAAATACCACGGGCTTTTCCCGTCTTTCTTGGGTACCTAGCATGGATCAGGCATTATTCTTGGCACTGGGAGGGATGCATCAATGAACAAAGCAAACAGCAATCCCTATTCTCCTGGACTTACATTCAGATGTGACATTTGTAGGGTATCTGCCTTGGGTTAGGCATGTTCAAAATACTTTATCTCACTTTATTCTCATTAAGGTCAATGGTGTCAATGTAAAAAAAACATCAAAACCTGTAGAGAATTTTAATGCGTTTATTTGAGCCAAACTGACAACAATTGCTAGGAAGCAAAATCTCAGATTAAGAAAATGCTCTGCAGAACAGCAGTTTTGCAGCTTATTTTATACGTTAGAATAAGGAGGGTTACATGAAATCCATTGTTGATAGATTAAGGAAGTGGGAAAAAGCAAAGGGTTGGGGTGGAGGAATCTCATATTGGATAGAAAGTAAAATTGAGAGACACTTCTTTTACATTGGTGAGTACATGATAATAATAAACATAGCACCTAGAGCTGGTATTTGGGGAACAAGATGATAGTGGGGTTCTGTGGTCTTAGTGTGTTGTACCCTGACTGGTGGGGTGAAGAGGGATTACTGACCTTCCAAGGGTATGTTATCTTAGAAGTAAAAACACAATAGACAGCCTTACTTAAGATAAAGATTGAACTTTGTCAAGAAAGCTACAAGCTCAGAATGTGACTGCCTGCCATGACCCACTTTTACTTAGGAATTTTGATGTTTAGACCATCCTCTGGTTAATTTCAGTCTCTGAGTTTGTAAGGCCTGCCGTGCTGGCCTCCCCTGAGCTTGTCATTTAATTGCTTAGTACCTCCAACTACAACAGTAAGTGGCAGAATCTGCCCAACCCCAAAGCCTACATTTTTCTATCCCACACTGGATTTATTCTTTTCTATGTTAAATTTAGAATCCTGCTTCTATTATCTGACCCCATCCTCCCAGTTCCACTTTGTTTTAAGAAATCTACTTTTTATTGTGTGCCCTCTGCTCTAGTTAGAGAAATATCCCACCAATATGCAGCCAAAACCTGCTTCAGGACTCCGTCCACCCCGTTATATTCTCCTTAACTAAAAAGCCCTCCTTCTTTCCAAATTCCACCCAAAGGGCAAGGCCCACCTTTCCCAACTGGTTTCTCTTCATTTTTATTGTATTGATGGTCTTGTCTCTTCTTGGGAATAGAGTCAAAGGCAGAGCATGTCCTAAGGGCTTATTGCAACATTGAAAGTTATATTTAGTTGGTCTTCACCCTCACAGCTCCCAGAACACTTGGAATTTTCTAAGTGTAGAAATTGATAAAGGCATCTTTTGTTGTGTCAGTGGATGAGTTCTAGATCCCACCCAAGGGTGGCAGATAGCTGCCAGGAGAACCATGTGATTAGAGATTTGAGGCTTTCAGTCCCACCTCTGACCTCCTGGGAGGGGGGAGCGGATGGAGATTGAGTTCAATGGCCAATGACTCAGTCAATTATGACGATGGAATGGAGCCTCCATACAAACCCAGCAGGACAGCTAGTTGGCTTTTGGGGAGCTTCCATGTTGGGGTAGAACTCCCCTGTGCCACCATGCTGGGCCCCAAACTCACAAGGACAGAGTTCCTTTGTTGGGATCTTGCCCTATATATAGCTCTTCATCTGGCTGTTGATTCGTATTCTTTAATATTCTGTGTAATAAATCATCAGTAATTTAGTGAGTAACCAGGTTTTCCTGAGTTCTGTGAGCAGCTCTAGCAAATTAATGTAACCTGAGGAAGGGTCTGCAGGAACCTCTGATTTATAACTGGTTGGTCAGAAGCACAGGTGACAACCTGGGCTTGCGGCTGGCATCTGAAGTGAAAGGCAGTCTTGTAGGACTCACCTGCAGAGTTTCATGCTCTCATTCTATCTCTGGGTAGATAGTCTGCGAACTGAGCTGAATTCTCAGACACCATGCTAGCTTCAGAGAATTGCTTTTTGGTGTGAGGAAGCCTACACGCACGCACGCATGCGCGCACTGGAATTGGGTCGGGAACCCTTTTCAGTTGTCGTAATACTTAACGTGGTAATATTCATTATAAAAATATATTAGTGAATATTCATAGCTTAGTAATAAAATCCTAATTATTGCTAATTCAGAATCTCCATGTTCCAGAGATACTGATACAAATGCAAGTGATCACTGTGTGTTTTTCTAATGAAGGTGCAGGAAGTCTGAATCTGATTTGACTAAAAGATATGCCCTGAAAACATTGAGGGCTATTTGTTTTAAACAAATCTCTGATGTCAGGGTGTCATCATTACCCGTGTCAAAGAGTGAAACAGTGAAATCCTGGATAATAGATTAAATACCATTAGTCATAAATTACAAAGATTTATGACCTACTATGAGTAGATGCTTAAATCTTCTAGCTATGTGCACTGGGGCAAATTAATCTCTCTAAGCCTCAGTTTCCTTATTATTAAATTGGGATTAGAAAATAACTACCTCATAGGATTATAGGATTACAGATAGTATATATGTAAAGGGCCTAGAATAGTATTTGACAACATATGATAAATAATATGTATCTCCATTAATATTAGTTAAAAATGAAACATTAAAAATGATACTTTAGGGCTGGCCGAGTGGCTCAATTGGTTAAGAGCTCGCTCAAGAGTTTGAGCTCTGAGCAACAGCGGTTCGATACCTGGCCCGAGCTGAGCAGCCACTCAGCTGCCAAAAGGTGGCAGGATGGCTCAGCTAAAAAAAAACAAAAAAAAAGATATAATAATTTTAGCTACATTTAATAAAAATCTTCCAACTACTATGTATTTAAAAAGAAATTAATGTACAGTGACAGATGGTTACTAGACTTATTGTGGTGATCACTTCATAAGGTATATATATATTGAATTACTATGTTGTACACTTGAAACTAATATAATATTGTATATTAACTATAATACAAAAATTTTTAAAGAAAATAATGACAAGATGATTCTAAATGAAGTCTAAGAACGAAAGTGAATGCCAAGCACACTGACCATTTCACCTCCGCATAGGGAATGAACACAGGACACTGACGAGGATTCTTAGCCCAAGTGCCAAACTGCGGCAGCAGACATTTTGATTCTGATGGATGCATCCAAGCTCCTTTCAGCTTTGAACCTCAACAAGTAGTGAAAATCCAGAAACCAAAAAATCTTAAGTGAGAACTTCCAAGAATACCTGTGTTTTACAAGCATTTTTTTTTTATTAATAAGAGACTGAAACAGTAAAATTCAAATGAACTATGGGACTCAAAAAGTTCCAGTTTCCAAGTTGCAAAATCAACACATAATGGAAAAATTCAGTGACATTTAAAAATGTAAGATTAATTCTTTTCATTGAGTTCCTCTACTTGCGTTGGCAAATAGAGAGAGCGGCGCACCTGGTTCAGGGATTTCTTAGCCTGTCAGAGGGGAAAAAGAAAAAGTCCCTGATCAGAGAGCACTAGAACATATCAGCATGGCTGCTGGAGAGGAACGTCTCCTTAGGTCAATGCAACACTAAACTACTAGTGATAAATGTCTACAATATTTCAATTTATGTGGATCCTTTCTTAAAAGGTGAGTTTAAGGTTTCTAATACATCCTTATAGTTCTTGTTATGTTAGTTTTCCCCTTTATAATGGTTTTTCCAGTTCATACTAAAAAAAACCCCAACACTTTATGACATGTCAGCTTCCCTTATTTTCTCAACTTTATTACCTTAAAAAAATACTTCATTGAGTGCTACTTTAAATCTTAAAGCCCAGCGCTATAAACTAGTTGGAAGAACATTCCTTAGCCTTCTTGGATTGGATCATTTAAACATAAGAGTATACATTAACATTTTTTTTAAAGCACCGTTATATATTTCCTAAGTAGTGACTATATGTAATAAAAAATTAAGGCTCTTTAACTCCCATTTTTTGCTTACAAATTTCATTTTAGTAATATCTTTCATCTTTTTAATTTGAGGAATGGGTAGTTTAGAAGGTACAGGTAACAAAAGATACGATTACTGGCTATTAAGTGAGCATGCTTTGAGCAATGGAAGATATTTTTACCAAAACTTTTTAATAAAATTACTAAGAATAATAAAAAAATCTAGTTACATTTTGAGAAGTCACCATGAGAATAAGCTAATGAGTCCAATGGGAGGCCAGAGGTAAAAGCTGCCTAAGAAACAGATTGTGAGAAAGTACTTAACAACACAGCCTCCAGAGACAAACTTTGGGGTTCATACCCTGGTTTCCCCACTTTCTAAGAGTGTAAGTGACATAAAGCACCTCCATTTTCT